TGAATGCTTAAACCAACAGTTAGCATCAATCTCTAAAAACAGAACAAGCACAGGTTGACAAGACTGCCTTCTCTAATCTACGGAGGCCAATTTGGATCAATCAAGTGAGTTGTAGACACAGAAAAACAGCATTGTGATAGCTATAGGTATGCATAAATCAAACAGATATACAGACTACTTTCACACCTAACCTGATCCATCGAACTCTAGTGTGTTTGCCAGATTAGTTCGGTACAATTGGGCCAGTGTGAACGCTGTCAGTTGAACTCTGGTGCAGTTAATTTGTGGGGTGAAAGCAAAGCAGACCAACCACTGAATGGTGTTGGGGGTACATGTGTTTTTAGCATGAATCATCAATCAAAAGCTAAAATACTAATCCATCTGCTGAGAAATGAACTGTCAAGAAAGAGACTTCCCTATCTTTATGAACAATGTAAAACGTTTATTTATACAAGATCTTTTTGAAACGGTATGCATGTTGCTACATGAGTGTTGAGAGATGAGATTCATCAAAAAATAAATGGAATTAATGAAGCAGAGGTGAGTTGAGAATTTGATTTCGCCATGTGGATGTGTGCAGCGCTACTCTATTTTATTCCATTTTCAGGTGAGTAAAGCTAAATGTTGTTAATCCAAAATTAATGTCAACTCCTGGTGAGAGCACGTGCGAATGTGTGTGAACTACATCTGGTCCGCTCAAGCCCATCTCTCTCATTGCTTATTAGTCATGCAACAGCTTCCTGTCCAGACACCCCAACCTTTCAACCCAATTTCTCATTTTCCAATCAGCCAATGCCATAAACTGTAATTGCAGTGTCAGGCAGTTGACTTTGTTTCAAGTCTAGACCCACTGATGGGAGCAAGAAGGAGATGACAGTCAGAAATTTACCCACCAACACCACAAAAATGAAACAAACGCCTCCACACTCCTCCATTTTTGAGCTAGAAAGTATAAGGCAAAATGTAATATCCAAGACCATGAGGGGACATTTTCTCCTTCACATTTTGGCTTTCCAGACGGGTGTACTTGTACAGGAAACTGCCGCAGGCAACAGTAACAGTAGGCTGATCTGTCACAAAGAAAGCCTTACATACACATACTGGTTGAAGTCTGATCTGTCTTTACGAAAAGACTCAGCATATCTGATATCTAAACACTGCTGCTGCCGTAACTACAAGACATTTGTCCTTTTTGTTTAAACAGCCTGAATCTCAGGATGTGAGATTACACATGCTCTCGAGTGAACATTCACTTAGATCTTAAAAGAAGTCTGATTAATCGAGTGGTTGGACTGAGAAGAATGGCCGCAAGTTGCAGACTGACTAAACTAGTAATGATAGTGCCTGAGAACCAAACACAATGTAGTTTCCCGAGATAAGTAAGACACAAGGCTCAGTAAAATGCACATGGCTTGCAGTCTTCTCCCATGTGGGTCCGTGTAGCGATGACAATGCAGGATAACAGTTGCCAAACACTGTCGCTCATCAGCTGATGAGCTGCCAGTCCACATGACGTCATGCTTAATGCCTTGCTCGTTTGTAAAAAGTCAGCGTGAAAAGGGAACCAGCTAAAAGGCAACAATGGATCTTGTTTGGCCTCGGATCCGACCACAACTCAAGGTGTGAAAATGTGCCTCATAAGACAAAACAGTGGAGCGATGTCTTAATAGCCTATTATGTTAGCCTATTATACCTTTAAAAAGAACAGTCTGAGGACAAAACAGGCAGCACAATGTAGTTTCCTGAGAAAAAACACCCTATTCCCTGAGTGTGTCACAATAGAGATTAATACACTTCAACATCATCACAATCAGAGCAGCTAATCTGTGTTATTCAATTTAAAAAATGCCATTCACCAGCTTAGTAACTTGGGGCTCACACAATTTCTCTAGTGCAGATCAAGGGACAGCTGGCTCGTCTGTTGTCTTCAGATTAGCGTCTATATCCCCCTTCAGAGCTCTGGCATTCCTGAAGCCAGAAGCTCAATAGAAACTTCATCAAACACAGAGGACGATCATCTTATCTCACAATCTCACATTTGAACTACAGACCAATTCAGCAGCCAGTGCATCCTCATATAGGGGCAGTTTTTAACAGTGATAAGTCCCCTCTCTTTGAGCCAAGTGCACGTCCCACAGTATAGCAGGAGTGGGATGTAGCTTTCTAGCGCTCCCTGTCTGTCATAAGCTGATAAGTCATGGTTGCTAGAACCAGTCCTCCAGATGTCCTTGGAAGGGAGAGAAGCTAAGAGAAGCATGTTTGTATATATACAGTATTTCTGGGTCTCGCCTTCTTGAACATTTTGTAGTTGTAAAGTGTAAATTGTGTTTTTAAATAAAGGTTAAACGTGACAGTGTGTGCTTCTACTTGAGCGTGTACATATGTCCTAAAAACTGTAAGAAACGGTGGGATACAGATGTTTCAGTGGAGGAGCCAGATTGTAAGATCAGCACTCATCTGCTGGGAGGAGTGGATTCCCTGCAAAGTGACAGCAACAGATATCAAAACACTCGAGGGTACTCCAGTCATGCGCTACTGCTTGTTTTTTTTCTTCACTTCACACATAACTACACAAACACACTGAAGGCAGAGAGGAGGTAGGTTTCGTTAGCAGCAAGTTCACATCTGCCTTGAAGCCTCGCGGTGAAGGACATCACATTATAAGTGAATGAATCAAAGGATGCAATGTGTGTATACAGTATGTAAAGGAGTTATGCAGGTTTTTTGCAATGCAATTTATTTGTCATATTTCATAATTCAAAATTATAATGCAAGTCAACTGTGATGTGATTTCACTGACAGTTATAAAATGTAGTAAAAATCATCTTCAATAGCTTTAGAACAGCAAGTTTTGTTCAGCAAGGCTCTGTCACCAGTTCATGAGCATTCTTGTAATAGTCAGCAGCTGCTAGATAACAAGAGCATTGCAGATGACCTGTGCTCCACCAAGTGGAAAAGAGGTTTTAAATCAATTAAGATTGACAACAAGCAGGAAGTCAAATGTCAAATGAGGTATTGTTGTGCCTTAAAAAAAAGCCTGGCCTGCTCAGGTCTACAGACAATGAATAATATAACAGGTAGTTGCCTAAGTAGCAGAATATTGGTAAAAGTGCAGTGCAGTCTTTAACTTGACACCCCAAGGTTGCCGCAAAACTTTTCAAAACGCGACAGTCACTAAAGTGACAAATTACTTTCCATAAAACATCTTTTCAAACAAGAACTGAGATATTTGGTTAAACTGACTGTATCAATACACCACGTCAAAGGCCTCCCAAACCACTGCACAAACGTTTCTGACACATAAATACATCATTCAAGTAGTGGAGAAAAGGCTAAAGATGGTGAAATAATATACTGTGGGATATTTCAAGCCATACAAAATTAATTAATCTGTGCAAATGAAGTTTTTGGCTGGACAAAGCCCTTAGAAGGCAGATTTTCACACCATAATAAAGACCCTATCCTGGGGAGACAGTTAAGAGAGAGGAGGTTGTTATTGGCTTGGCAATAACCTGAAACTTAGTAGATTCAAATAAGAGCGACTGTGCTTTTACAAAATGAACACTCTGAGCTCTCCCAAGTGTTGCTTTTGGCTGAGATTATCTACCACATCAAAAGGCCCTGTTCCTCTGAGTGAGAGCTTTATAAGGAATGAGTGACAGTAATGCATGTGTAGGAACAAAAGGTTTCATGTGGCTGGGTAACATGGTTACAGCGTTTTAATAGTTATTTCACCTTACTGTGGGGAAAAAGGGATACAGGTTGGGTCTGTGAGCCACACAGAGAAATGGTTTTGATTGAGCTGTCTGTAATGTGCAGCAGCAAATGCTGAGAAGTCTGGATGGAGCGTTCACCATATTAAATCCAAGACTTTTAAAGACCTATTTAAAACTACATAAAATGAAATATAATACTTTATCGTGCCATTTGCACCGGTCAAAGAGTGATCGAAAAACCAGTAGGGACAATAAGTCCCATAATCATTTATTACTTATTGAACTTAATTTATTGCCATTTGTAGCTTTTTTTGTGAGGAATTCACAGCTGTATATAATAACCATGGATACAAATAAGCGGCAGGAAATGGATGGATGGATGAACCTTTTAACTAAAATTGGCACTGGCCCTTGATGAGTACACAACCTCAGGCACTGTCACAACAATCACTCTTTTAGTTTGATATGTAGCACAAACTAGCGTTAATGTCCACAGCAGGAAATAGTTTTTAATACCTTATACGTTTGTTTAAGACCTTCAGATACCCTGCGCATTAGGCCAGATAACTGCACCCGAATATGCATGATAAAACCATGTTTAAATATATGGCTTGACCTAGAAAACTTGATCTGTTTGAGGGTCACCCAACCTGCAAAAACTGGCTCTCTGGTGGGAAGCTTTTACCGTCAAACAGCTGCAGGAACTGTTGAGTTTGCTTTACAACACAGATTAACACTGTGTCTTTATTACAGTTCTGATGGCACAGCAAATCATTAAACAGCGAGGTTCAAATCTCAAACCTCCTGCGACAAAACAACAGTCAAACAAACATTAAGCGGGTGCAACAGAACTACCGAATCGGCGCAAAGAGAGCTTGGTTGAGCCAGGAACCGTCGTGTTATGGTCATGCTCCCGAGCAAGGCTTCACAATCATGGGCGGCGGCACAGAAATCCACTGCTGTGAATGTATGATAATGACAACGAAAATCTTCACAGTACAGCATGTTTCAAGTGTCAGTGGGAAACTGGTGTTCACAGGTTCTCACAACAGGAGGTAAAGCTATTCAAGCAGCAGAAGTGATGAGTTGGTTTAGATCTATTTTTAACATAAAACACATTTTAAGGGTCTTCAGCAGTCACATATTACTCTACAAGAACCTGAATACATTTCATCTTCTGAGCTGGATGTTCCTGCTTCCTAAAATACACCCAAGTGACCACCTTCTGTGTGCTGACAGGCAGATGCGTCATTGTTTGTGGCTGGCATCAGAAAACAGACTCACCACTGCTGCGACTCTTGCGGTTGGCCTTCCCTCCCGTCAGCAACATCTTCAAGCTGTTCCTAAACATGACTGCAGCAGATGCCCTGGACTAGACTACAGAAAAATCTGTTGGGGAAAGAAAAAACAATAAATATTAATATTTCCAGAGCACCTGCAGTATGACCAACTGTCTGCTGTGAGATCTAACCGATAATGTTGAATTGAATTCAGCAGTTAAAAGAATTATTAGAGATGTCAGAGCAACACAGCAGAGCTAGATTTTCAAGACAGGAGAGAAAAAAAAAACCTTCAAAAGAAGCTAATGGGAGTTATGTGTCAGAAATCGCTGAAACAGGGGAAATCCCATTCATGTATTCATAATCTTATGTGGGTCTTCAAAACTCAAGATCAAAGGCTTCCTTATAATGAAGGCATAATACAAGGAAGAAGCAGTGCATTTACTACTAGTTCCTACCATAAAAATAAAAAATGCAGCGCCTTTATTGCAAAGCGAGAGCAATTAGGGTTCAGTATCTTTCTCAAGGACACTCTGACATGTGGACTAGAGGAGCCAGGGCCTGAACCACAAACCCTGCTATTAATGGTTGACCCACTCTACCTGCTGAGCCACAGCAGATCCGCTCCTTCTTAATGTTTTCTTGATACCAACAGCTATTAACTGGGTTACTTAGCCATGATTTAAACCATTAATCCAGTAATCTTCCATCACAATATACTCTGGATTATGAAAAAAAGCTTAGAAAGATTAGCAAAACATGCATCCATCCATCCATGATATGGTGAGGTATCAAAAAAACTATGTATGTATTTGTTTATACCGTGCACTGGATCAGAAATATTGTGCCAATATTAGTATAAAAACATTCCTGAGTGCCTGAATGGCTTCATACATTCCAAATGTGAATACAAAGAGACACTCATTTACTGGAGGTAAAGACGTGTCTGCACAAGTTAAAAATGTTTATGTTAAGCAAAAATCTTATCTCGAGGCTATAGGAGGTACAGAGACGAGAGGAAAAAGTCTGAAGCTAACAGATATTCATTCCATTCATTCATTCAACTTTTTTTTAACTTGGAAATACATTGAGCTAGAGACTTCATTTACAATATAGAGGAGTAAAAGACACTTGGTATTTAGGTATAAGCAAACGTCTCCATATCTGGTAACATAACATTGACTGTTTGTGGGGATTAAACACCCAAATTTGTGCAAATAAAATGAGCTTCACCTTGATATGTTCAAGGCCATGTCTAATATATAGCATACAGAACAGAAGTTTGTCACAGATAATATAAACAATGTACTGTACAGTATCATAAAACTACAGGCGGTGAAGGGCTTTCAGTACAAAAAAATGAGTTACATAGCCGACAGATAACACCATAAACCATAAGATTGTCTTCATTTCTTGACTGCAGCTTGCTTTATCCCACTAATTCCTCCCCTCCGTCTCCCCACCATCCGACCCCCCTCCGTACAGGCACATATATCTCTTCTGTGAGTAGTAAAAAGCATGGCAGCAGATGTTCTCCATTAGGTGGGAGTGACTCAGCAAAGCCCCACACAAGCTCCAGCTGAGAAGCCAGCTTTGGACCCAAACAATTAAAAAAACCTCAAAGAGGAGGACATGGAAAAGCTCTCAAAAAGCCCTCCTGCCCCCCCTCCTTCCCAAGACCATGCTTAACCAATGTTTTTCTCAATCTCCCCCTGACCTTGAGAGGGGTCTAAAAAGGCTTCCAGGATCATAATACTACATATACTGCAAGGGGCACTGGGAAAATGGCAATGATAATGAGTCAACACATGATATTATAGTCAGGTGGGATGAAACTGAGCCATAAAACACACATTTTTGGCTTAACTGATTAATTTAGAACATATCCTTTTTTAAAGAGTGTTTAAAGAAAGGATATTTAATTTAAGATTTATGATGCACTAATGGCATTTCCAGACAAGTAGGGGCAGATTAGACACTTGGCTGTAATGCAGGTGCAGACTATGTCCTAAAATTGTAATGGAGGTTGAACCTTTGAACTCCAGCCCTAGACAACATCTTTTCAAACATGTTTGATTTCATCAGACTGTGTCTGGCAGGCCTTTTGTAGAATTACGTTGTCTACAGAAAGTCTCAACAAGATTGAAAACTGAGTGCAGTCCTGGCGGTTGCCAATTTGGAGTTTAGCTCAAGTGTGGAGAAAAAGAGAAAGAACTGAAAGAGAAGTCAATCTGAACAACAACAAATATACCAGGGACAAATTGAAGGAGAGCTACTGTAGCTCACTCAGATGCTTTTTTGAGATGCCTCCAGCTGTGTTTGTTATTTGTTTTTGAAAGAAGGTGAGTGATGCTCTAACCATTTTTCCATCAGTGACCAATCAAATTTTTTTCTAAATGGGTAAGTATTCTTATATTTTTCCAAAATGCTGATTTAAAAGGCAAGAAGCGCCTTTCCAAAACCAAGAGTACAGTTCACTCACCGGGTGATCATGTTAGATTGTCATATTAAGGGAGTCATAAACTCTTGCCATGTCTTCACAGCAGATTCACTTTGGACCCCGACCAATCACCGCCTGCCGTTTTTTACTAAGTGCAGGTTCATCGAGATGAAATAAATATCATAGAAGTTGTCAGACTAGGTAAAGCAACATAAGATTTAGAAACATTCAGACACACTAGTCTTTTTGTTAGGATGTTGAGAGACATTATAAATGCTGCGTTGATTGTCTTCCACTATGACACACCACACAGGATAAAATGGAGCAATTGTCCAGCCAGACGCTCATTTTGGTTCACAATGTCCCACATCTGTCTGGTTGAGCCATTATCAGGCTCATATTGTGAAGTCTAATCTCAGCATTACAATGCAGCCCACAAAGTATGATGAATTAACTGTATTAGGACAATTCAGAGTGAAACATGATGTACACAACAAATTACATGAAGTATTATTACTACTATAAATATGATAAGTAAAATGTTTGTCACCTTTCTACAATAAATATCTTCTTGCCACTGACCAGCAAACTAGGAAAGCAATATGCGTTGAGTATCAGTGGCAGTGACAGAAGATCCTGATGTCTGATATGATTGTGCATCTAATAACACTTTTGACAGCAGTTACCATTCCTCTTCCCCAGTCAATAACAGCACCAGCAAATGTCCCTATCAAGGCCAATGCAAATGAAGGTTATGGCGCTTTTAGTGTTTTATCTTTTGATGTAGGTTCAGACTTGTCGGTTCATTTTGTATCACAGGGGCTAATACCCTCACCGCTCATAAAAACACTTCTCAACTGCTCTGATTTAGAGGGATCACTGACAATAAATATGAATATTTTTGACCTCATTTGCCAAGCAGTGCAGTGTCACCCAGCCATTGTGACAGGTTCCACTAAATAAAAAATGAGCCCTGATGTGAATCAGTGGGTCCTCGAGGAAAGGCTGACATTTTCCTCTATAACATTTGGCCCAGATCCTGATGCAACAATTCTTTGGTGAAGTAAAGAGTGTCTGAAATTGTATGAAGAGCCTCCTACAGGGCTGTCTATTATAAACGTGTTATCAGCATCTGATATGATTGTCTTGGCAACTGAGCTGAGGCAGTGAGTTAACTGATGCTACAGGCAAATATACCCACAATAGACAAAACACTTCTCTAATTTGGGGAATTTTGCCATTTTGCTAAATTACATGTGCCACAAAGGGCATAAAATGTAACGTAGTGTTTTATAATCATAGAACAAAGCAGCATTATGGCCACTTGTCTCTTCTTAACAAAGGATTGCTGATGAATTATCATCCTGCGATTGCTAAAGGTTAATTTTCAACTGTATTCCCATGTTACAGCCCCGGCTGGCACCTGTCCCATATGACTAATTCTTTCCAGTGTTTTTCTTGTATGTAAAGTAGAATGTTTGGTCCCCTATGTGAGATTGGTCCCTATGCTGGGACACCGCCCATCTCTCTTCCTGGATCCTTGAGATGCTAATTGGAGAGACACCCAGTCCAGAGGATGCAGTTTTCGTCAGATAAGCTATATATTCTCTGCCACGTGGTTAGGTGGTGTGGCTGTGGTTTGATGCAAGCAGCAAACCACTGTGTTTCGAGATCCATCTATATTCCATGCTAGATTTTGTTTTAATGTGAAACCGAGGCACAACACGCACTCATAAATCCTATGTTTATAAACACTAAAAGCAGGGATGTTGATTCTAATGGTTTTGGACAGATAAGAGTGGGGCAGATAGCTGAGGTTTCATTCATTTGGAATAAATAACTGACATTAAGAAATAATGGTTTGCCATTCGGTCTCGTTAGATCAAACACTAAACTGTAAATAACAGGGCTTGTAGAGGTAATAGTAAAGGCTGATGCAAACCTTAAAAATGAAGCCTCTTCCTAGTGGAGGCTTCTGTTAGCTGTTTGACCTTTTTTCTAACCCCTTCTCTTCTGCATCACCTGTGCAATTGTCTTGACTATATATTATTATATTATAGTCAACTTAACCGGCCCCCCCTTCAGCTGTGGGGAAAAAAATAGTTAAAAGCCAGCTTAAATCACAGCAATCATTACAGCTGCTTTATGATACAGTGGCACAAGTGATCCCTACACCTACCAGAGGGACAGATGAAAAGCATTAGTCAGATTAAAAGCAGCAGTGCTAGTTCAAGGTGGATGAGCAGTGACACATGCCATGAATGGCTACATTGTGGTGTGGGCTGACTAAAATAGTCCAGATTTCTTTCACAATCCAATCTTATTTATTTTCACTCTATTTATTTTAATCTCAACAAAGAATTAAGTATACTTCTCTTATTCTTTTCAAAAGTATAAACTCTGTAGCCAATGTCATCGCAAGGATAGTTCAATAGTTTAAATAAACACTGCAGTGGTTTTATCATGTAGAACCATGCAAACCTTGCCATTCATTGGTATGAATTCAGTATCCTCCCCATGACAAGATGTAGACAGTGGTAAGAGAGTGTAAGGTGGCAGTGGGTCAGATCTATTGGCATGCATGCTCATCTCCAGAGATACAGCCACGGCTACGCAGGGGCACCAACGTAAGTATCCATGCAACTCACCGCAACTGCACCTCAGCATAA